TTTTACTTGAACGAATTTCGAAGTGAATTTCTGCAAATTATCCGACAAAACCTGCCACGTGTTTGTGTTCGCAAGTCACAAGAAGCCGCCAAGTGTTCCGCCACGCCGGAGCTATTTGAAAACAGCGTAGAAAAGGCACAATAAGCCATCGCTAATTCACTCTACGCTGGAGCGAAATCGTTTGAAAACTTTCACATCACTTTTGCCGTAACAATTTGAGCACGGTTTCTAAACGGAGCAAGGTGAAAATGGTGGAGCGCTTTCAAGATAGCTTCGTGTGAACACAAACATGTAAACTCGAACGCTTTTCAGTTAAATTTCTTGGGTCCATTTGAAATATTTTGGGTTTACACGAGTGCTAATTCAATTTGTAAACAAACTGTAATGGCAGGTGACTGTTTACATGATGAAGCCGAGTAACTCGCCTTGGCAAGTTCCCGGCAGAAAGGGGCAGGATATCGCTTAGGCAAGATAAATTATTATTAGCATAGTAAAATTACTGCATAGATTATATTGATCGTTTACTGAAAATATGTGAAACTGGTGTGATATTGATATAGGAAATTTATACTGTAAGCAGGGTTTGTACATGTCAGAGAGAGAGTCAAGTTCAAAGACTTTTTAAGGGCATTCAAGGCCATGTATCGGCAAATTCAAGCTGAAGAGAAGTTATAATATAATTCAATACTGAAGAGAAGGCGTTAGAAATCAATAAAATGTGACGTTGAATTCTTCAAAATATTGAATGATCAATGTTATCTGGGGTGGGTGGATTAAGTAATAACGTAGATTCAACGTCATTTGTGGCAACATGAATATGGTCCGGCCCCCCCAAAAAAGTTGGGTAAGTCCAGGGGGGATTGGATTTAGTTTAGTGGGGCTCGAGTTAAGCGAGTTGGAGTGTTCTTTATAGGTTCTATAAACTATAGTAATACCAAAACAGCTAAAAATATACAGTATAACAGCCATTTTTACCAACTTACCTGCCAAAATAAAGGATCCTACACACGAAATAAAGCCAGATAAGAACGAATTGAACGGGAATGTTCCAACCAGTAGACAATAGCCAAATTGGATAATGCCAGTAAACATTATATACATGAGATATGCGTCTATTAATTTGGTTTTCTGAGGAGTCTTTTGATTGTACTCGTCGTAGAATTTCACCAGAGCGCCAAACAGCGTTGCTGAGCCGCTCATTTTGATGATTTTTTTGCACAACAGTGGAAGTCCTTGTTATTCAAAAGCCACGCACACGAGTAAAGAAAGAAAACTGCGCATGTGCATATCTATATAACATGAAGTACATCACATGATTTTTATTCAGGTTCGCGGGCGCAAACTGGAACAAAAAATTTTAAATCCGGGCAGTGCTTCCACTTTCATAGAAATTTCATATTTTATAGTGAAATCTGGGTGAAATATTGTGAAATATGAAACTTTTTGTGGAATAACTGGAAAAATGATAATCCTATGTTCTTGCACAAGGAACAGCACAAATTAAAGACCAACAACTCTATTAGCCATTTCGCAAAGTATGAGATACTTAATCTCCGGTCGTCGTCTAAAAAGTTGATATTTGAAACGTATACTCTTTCGCATATTTGACGCCTGTCACCATATATTTTGTCCCTCGAAACGATCCCAGAATGCACTGTGATCTCTTCTGGGAAAAGGCTAATTGGTTTGGGCAAAATAAGCGCAAGACTCTTAAAATACGCCTTGTTCAATCAGCAAGTCTTCACAATAATACTTAATCTTTCCATCAAGAGCAACCATTTCCCAAAGGATTTACAAATGCGCTAAGGTCACGGTCCTATTTTAATCGGGCGAATTAACCGGCCAATGGGTACAAACTATCGTCCTGTCTCGATCTTGCCCACTCTAACTAAGATCTAATTAGAGAGAATCGTTCACTCGCAATTGCTAATTACTAACAACTTGCTCACAAGCAATCAGTTTGGATTTCGACAAAGGTACTCGACCATCACTGCCCTGACTAGACTTTCGCAAAGTCCTTGTCTTTAATAGACCGAAGGGGTTTTCCGAAGGAAGTAATTTCTTGAAGAAGCTCGACTTAATCCCTTTTCGCGTTTATACGAGGACTTGTAGCAAGTCTATGCCCTCATGATCAGACCAACTTTGCGGATCAGAAACTCTGAGCAACATGCATGGAATGTGGAATTAGGCTTTGTGGAGCTGTTTCTAGATTTGTCGAAGGCTTTACTCTATTTTCTCACGACAGTTCCCATCAACCACCGGCTTTCGGCTGATTAATTCCATGGGGGCGTGAACATAAATTATTCACAAAATATTAAAAAGGAGAGTTTGACAAAAAAAATAAAAAGACACTGTCACATTGCCAAAGTAACGAGCCAGTTTCAACTCATTTTGTTTCAAAATCGTTTTGAAAGAACTCAAGGAGTCAGCAATTTTTGCATCGTAGGGAAGATTAACGCGTGATTTCGAAACGGACCCGTTGAAACGCCATCATTATAACGCTTATATTTCGTCGTGTTGACATAAATGTCACGAGTTGGTTGCAAATCAAGAAAAAACAAACACTTTATTATGTTAATTATTAATGCGTGCTTTGAAAAGGAACCGTTGGAATGCCATTATTTTAGAACGCTTAAATTACGTCGTGTCGACAAAAATGTCACGAGTTGGTTGCAAATCAAGAAAAAACAAACACTTTATTATGTTAATTATTAATGTGTGCTTTCAAAAGAAACCGTTGGAATGCCATCATTTTAGAACGCTTATAAATTACGTCGTGTCAGACAAAAATGTCACGAGTTGGTTGCAAATCAAGAAAAAAACAAACACATTATTATGCTAATTATTAATGCGTGCTTTCAAAAGGAACCGTTGGAACGCCATCATTTTAGAACGCTTAAATGAAGTGAGCGTTAGCCGTTATGCCGTGTTGGCATAAATTCACAGGTTGGTTACAAATGACTGAGAATAAACAAACACTTTATTATGTTAGGAACCGTTGAAACGCCATAATTTAGTAACGCTTAAAGCCGGTTTTCCACTAGGCGGAATTTTGCGCGCGGAGCGGACTTTTTCTTTGTCTTGTGATTTCTCTGGTGGAACTAATTAGAAAAGACAAAGAAAAATTCCGCTGCGCGCGCAAAATTCCGCCTTATGGAAAACCGGCTTAATACATTAAAGTGAGCGTCACGTCGTGTGGACATAAACTTCACAAGTTGGTTGAAAAGTCAAGAATAAACAAACACATTATTTAATATTTAATGCGTGATTTCAAAAGAAACCGTTGAAACGCCATCATTTTAAAACGTGCGCCTAAACTAGAAGTTACTGTGCTCAGTGGTTATATTACTACATGAAATAAACAAGCAGAAACTCGACGTTTCGAGCTAAGCCGTCACAGAAGTCCATCTCCATTGTTTTTTGCGTAAGCGCTATTCGTCAAGGCTGGTTCACATATATGCCTGCGACGTACCGGCGACGATGCCGATGGTAGCTTAAAACGTAAATTATGTGAATATTTGTTTGCCGATTGCCTCCAGTGCCACAGTTACATCGGCGGTAGGCCGGGAAAGTTGACTCTTGAGTTCAACTTTACCGGTATTTCGGCGGCAAGTAGAGGCATAATGATAGTCGCAGGCATATGTGAACCAGGCTTCACTCAGCAAGTACCGTAAACAGAAGCAGTATATACCCCCCGGAAATATTCAAAATGGAAAACGTCCAGGGGGGTACTGCTTCTGTTTACGGTACTTGCCGAGTGACGAATCATGACGATTGTGTATAAAATAACTTATCTTGCTCTTTCTAAAGTATTGTATTTCATTCTGTCTGATGATTTTGAAACAAAGTGGAAAATTCAGTTTCAAACGTTCGTCTTGAAACCCCCCCCCAAGTTCAATGTTGTAATCAACGTGATATTTTATACACGAGTTTCAAACGTTCGTCTTGTATTTATTCAAATCTTGAATTTCAAGATGGCGCCGGAATTTGCCCTCTTTTATTATCATAAGGCGTGTGCGAATTTTGTACACAGGGAAAAGTAGTCTCTACCAGTTATGTCCAAAATTGTAGCAGTATCGCCTCGTTATAGCTTGGAATCATCATGCACACATCGACACTAAGTGTAACGGTACATGTGGACATTAAATAGAGAGCTGGCTCACATTTGACGTCGGCTACCGCTATACTACATGTTGCGATTAAGGGACCATTAACCTATCAGATGCGCTTAATCTACCCAGTTAACCAATCAGATGAACACAGAGACAGTGATAGGTAACGGAAGACAAATTTGAACTTCTCTAATGCATGCCGACCAACGGAAAATGATGACGGCCTAAATTAACGGGTCTCTCGTTAACCGGAATGCAAGCCAAAATCTTGATAGTGCGCAAAGCGGACCAATGTCTGGTACATGTACAGTACTTTACTTACAGATGACAACCGTTAATTGCAGCATTTAATTTTTAAAAGCTTGTTTCCTATACCACTTAACTCCTAAGGATGCGTGACTAATTCTATTCCGTGTTAGCCTGTGTATAGCGTGGTGCATGTTTCACATCAGTCAAAACCAATGGTCAAAACACGAAGACAGAGGGAATATAAATAGAGGCTTTGTAAGCGGCAGAATCTATATACAGCTGCATTGTGGAAGACAAAAGATTGAGCTCTGAAGTTTCAAAATTTTATACTTCACATTTTTGGTGAGTAAAAGTAAAATAAATGTCTTTCATAATATTTTCTCTAATTGGTACATTGATTAAGCATAGTTATTAAGTCAGTACTATATGTCCTTTGATATCAAACCAACTTTAAATTAATATTCCTACTGAAAAGAAAATTTTCAAGTCAGTCAGTTTCGCTTGGTTGTATATTTGTAGTGAATGTAGTTATTATATATTTTATCAATACTTTATTCTAGTTAAAAATGGAATTCAAATTCTTACTTGGGATTTCGTGTTTTGTGATGGTAGGATTGGTATTGAGCGAGTCACCTCCCGGCCCCGTCACGGTCGGTAAGTCAAACCGTAACATAACGCTTCTGATATATTTGGGTTGTTTGAACAATATCTCATTATAACACATCGTCCTTTAGCGGGGCATGTTGGTATGGGATGTTCAAGAACGCCGGAACGGCAAGAGGGAAAAGGGGTTGATTTTTCTAGAGGGGAACTTTTTAATTGAAATTTATTCGGGAAGATTGCGAAGCATCTGGACTTGGGGTGTACATGTAGGGTGATCTGAACTTCAATGTTAAAATGACCTTCAATCATTATAATTGCAATTACACCAGAAAATTTTGTACATATACAGTTTTGAAGCACAATGGCTGGAGAGACTGATTCGTAAGGCATTGCGTCATATTGTCTATTGACTTGCGCGTATTCATGAATTAAACACACCATTCACATTGTATCATAGTTAGTATGCCCCTGCATGGGGATATAGTCACAGAAATTTTCAAAAAAGATGCCGAAATTTCAATTTAAATGATCATTTTAAAATTGTCTACTTTTTCGTATAGGTATATATGTGCGTAAATTTTCAAACTTCAGAGTACATACTATATCCGCGCGTGACTTTGGCATAACTTGTCTCCTATATAGGCCACAACATTCGACGTCTACTGGTGATTAAGGCATAATTTTATATCCTTAGATATTACAAAACAACAGGCCAAGTCCAAGGTTGAAAAGTATTTGAAAAAGATCCAATACAGACTTGATATCAGGTTGAGGGAAGATCCTTCTGATCCCTCTGGTGGTCTGAATGAAATGGATTATCCTGGAGCCTCAAAATATGGTCCCATCTTCACGCACGAGTCAGAGTCCGTAGACGGACCAATTTACATCAGTATTGGATTCAATAAGGACGTTCTTCCATCATCGACCGTTCAAGATTTACAAAGCAGTCTGGGTTATGTCTCCTTGGACAAAGTTCCCATGCCTGGCTTCAACTATCCTTATGGTTGGGATATTTATCCACAGACCCCATCTAGCAGCTTCAAGGACGGAGTGACGATCGTCTCTTATCAAAATGGAAGACTTCACTTCAAAGTGAATACCAGGTTTTTTGCTGTCTACGGCAGATTGCGCCGTGTGAAAGTTCCGGCTGGTGGTTCTACTCCGAAACACGCATATTTTCAAGTTAGGAAAGACATTAATGGCTTGATTGATGTCAACATGCCTCTTGCTATGCTTGCTTAATCATTGTTTCAGCTGCATCACACTAGCAATTCTGCCGGCGATTTTTCTCCTCCTGGCAAATGCGATCGAATGAATGGCATGCAAAAGACTTAGAATTGTTTACTTCTGAAAAGCGACTCTATACTTTTGTGCGAGAGTTCACTCATTTGCATCCGTCAAAAACACAAAATCGCCGACAAAATTGCTAGTGTGAACCAGGCTTTAAGCGAAATATGAAGGATATGTTAATTATATGATCATATGATTTCATTTGTGTAATTTTTTGTTTTGAATCGTTTTGACAATATAGACACATGGACTGACGAAACATATTGATGTAAATGTAGTCGGTAGAATTCATTCCTGCATTGATTAAACGAATTATAATTAAACCGAATTGTTGTTAAATACGTCTCTTGATCTGTTTGACTGACAGTCAGGACGAAGCAAAGAGATGCCCACCTCAGAATTGTGATCAAGCAACAGCACGGAATTGTTGTGAACTAATATGCACAACATGCTCACGACATATTTTATCCTATGAGAAATAAGTTTTTTGTACCCAGCTGCATAAAAAAGCCCCATTTCGACGGATTCTTCCTTCACATATTACCAGAAATACAAAGTGGCACTGTCATACAGCAACGTGTGACTGTATCTAATTTTGGTCTCGGGGGAGATAATTTTGTAAATAGACCAACTCAACATTTAGCCTTTCCTAAAATATACCTTGTTCTGTTCTTGATATATTAACGTTTTAATGACAACAGTCAACAGTAACGGACAGATTACGAAATACTGGGGGCGCAAATTCGGTTATCAACATATTCCCGATGTACGTCTCAGTCTTCAGTGCATGCAATCTCAAATCTCATCAAGACTTTTTGACTAAAATTGAATGTAATTATTAGCCATCAGGATTTCAGGGTTAGCGCAGCCCAAGTATACATACGTTTTTGGGTAGGAAAGGTAGCCCCCACCCTCATCTCCTAGTGTGTTAACAGCACTTTAAGCCATTTTCACCATAATTCGCCCCTTTACTGCATGACCTTTCTCCACATGATAATAAATTGCATAGTTCAGTTATGTCAAATCGATCGTAACACTTGTGATTCATCTTTGGTTGTACTGTTTGTTTGATCGTTCTGTGAGGCTGACCTAGCTGATTCGTCAGACATCTCTATTTTTTCCGTTGCTAAACGACATGTTTCCATCTTGATCGCAGTCATGATTTCCTTTCCTTGGCGAGTAAGAAAGTGATATTCACCATGCCTGCTCTTACAATCCCTGGCAAATTAATAAATATTTATAAAAATACAGTCAAAAGTAATGATCAATTTATAAGCTTCTGGCTTGTTTTATTCGCACACTTAAAGTAATATGCAACAAATAACTTGTGAAACCCGGATGGATCCAGCCAGCTCTGATAGGGAAATGATCATCAAGCTTTGGTCGTGGTTCATGGTGGGACCCAGAGTGCAATAATTCAAGATTTTTAGTCGTTTTTTATCGTTGCCGCATACAGTAGCATATACTTGCTCTAGTACAAACTGAATACCAGTTGCATGACTTCATGCTACTGTACGATTGTCTAGCTTCGCCATGCAAAAAAACATTTTGTGAAATATTATGATTTTATAATTATTATCCTACTCATGTATCTAAAAAATTATGCTCTTGACAAAACCTTAGTATTTTAGCAGATTCTTAGCATATTCTTGCATTGTCTTAATTTAAGAATTTGTATTCTTATATAAACGAGATTCCCATGATGTAAAAGGTATGTACCATTTGGATCATACTTATTATTCATTATCAACTTGGCTGTAATTTAAGAATGAATGGGTTAGTGAATTAATAAATTAATTAAAAACAGTTACCTTGATGCCCAGATAACCAGGATCATATCAAGATCTTGTAGTTTCGAAACTTTTCTTAAATTGAATCTTGGCAAATACTGAAGATTCCACTGCGTGGTAATTGCACCAGTTTTAATATCAAGAAGACATAAAAACTTTGGCTCAACACTCAAATAGTAATCACCAACTATCTGTAAGCGCTCGGAATCTTTCGTGTTCATTACTGTTACTTGAAATAGCTCTAAAAATAGAAGACAGTTGAATAAGTAACTTTGACAGTGAAAAAAGTTATTTTCTTTCTAGGAATCTGCGTTTAGAGCTCAAATTTTTCTGCAAAAAATTACAATACATATAGGGAAAAATAGCAAAGTTGTCGTTTGTAACAGTGAATTAAGTCGAGCCAATTGTGTGACCTGCTAAATTAAGAGTTAAAATGAGCAAGTATAACCATAGGATAGTAGTAATATATTATGGATTGAAAACCGAAACATCTATTATTCCGCCATTAAAATGGCCGCCAGGCAGGTTTGGGCGCACAATGCATTGTGGTTGACAATGACTCTTTAACCAATCAATGAGCACTACTAATTTTCGGGTTGAGTGTGAGGTCACTATACTGTACACGTTAACTTTCCAAATCGGCAGGCTGAATTTGGACCAAATTCTGCAGGCTGCAAGCAGGCTACAACCACGATCGTCACGACAAAATGTAAACAGTACAGGTTTACAGTACACCCAGTACAGGTTTACAGTATACCAATTTTCATAATTACGCGACTTACTCGAAAATACTGGTATAATATCTGCTCTAATGTCAGTTTTATGTCATGCGAACAGCTAAAATATAGCACAAACATAAACAAAAGACTTTTTAAACAGTTTTTAACACCTAAAGAAGACTATTGAGCCAAAATGAGCTAGATATGTACTGTACTGTATAAACTGAAAGAAACAACAGACCATCATAACAAAAACCTGTGTTGTGAATCACTTTCAAAGTTTCAAAGAACAATTTAACTCATAATTTAAGAATTTAACTGTGCTGGAATTTAATTTATGCTGGACTATAATAGCACCGGTAATATCATTTTGTTGTGCTTAAATTTTCCAGTAATTATCACTATCACTATTATATCTTGGAAATCCTTCTAAACTTTTACATAAAGCATACAATGCATGACATCGATAACGAATCACAGAACTCAAAGTTGTAAACAATTTGAACTTCGTGACTGTGTGACAGCAAACTGACATCATGGCAACTCCAGTTATTTTCGGCCTGGCCGCGCAACTTTGAAAAAGTTGTAATAATAATAAACTGTACACTAGTGTAAACTGCAATGGGTGATTTCAGTTATAGACTAAATTTTGATCAAGGCAAGAAGAAAGAAATCCAACACCACAGCTAGAAAGAGCGCCTTATAGAATGAGTAAAACTACGAAGATTGGTTGCTAAATTAAAATGTTGTAAGTTATGGTAACCACTGAGTAATTTTAAGAAATACTGTACAAATTAAATTCCTGGTGATGACTGCAAGATAGTCAAAACGTCGAATTAAATTGTTAACTGTTTTTGGAGTGTCCCATTGTTTTGTACTTTTTTAATGTTGTAAAATGACTTAGTAAATATTAGCCTGCGAACAGGCTCTCAAGCTGAATTGAGAGCCTGCATCGATGACTAATGAATTTGGATATCTGCGTCTCAAATCGTGACGCGAAATTCTCATTGGTCAGATGCTATAATTTATATGTTTCCGCTGAGCTCTATATATGTCAACTGCTGAAGCACTATGCATAAAAAACACATTAACTGATCAAATTGGTCTTGGCCATCTTTCTCAAAGCACGAAATGTTCTGTTTTGAGAAAACAGTATTTAAAACATTTGAACTTTTGCTTGAATATCTTATATTTCGAAAAACAGTATAAACTGCACGGTCTAAATTTAGTTTGCACGGTCTAAATTTAGTTTGCATGAAACTTGTAAACAACACCATATAAGGATAGACATTCCATATTTCGAAAAACGAACGTTACGGGGCAGATATTCAATTTCATTAGTCATCGATGCAGGCTCTCAATTCAGCTTGAGAGCCTGTTCGCAGGCTAAGTAAATATAGCCCTGTGAAGTTCGCAAATTTTGTAGATATTTGCATTACGCGCGGTAAAAATAACCACTTTCGGCTAAAAATAGTTATTTTTTCCCGCACGTAATGCAAATATATACAAAATTTGCGAACCTCACAGGGCTATATTTTCTTCATTTTACAACAATTCGCAACCAAACTTTACAATTTTACTCATTCTAAGATGCTCTTTCCAGCTATGGTAATGGTTTCATTCTTCTTGTCTAGATCAAAATTTCGTCTATACCTGGAAATATCTATTGAAATAATACTTTAAAACCGTGCAACCCACCATTTTCGTACTCATTTCTTTGCAACGTACACATTTGTTTAGGCAACGTAATGTCCTTTATCATTGAGATCCATTCAGCTCGCTCGGTAAGGGAGTCGACCGAAAAAACATATCTATTTTTGCCCACAATTACTTCGAAAATATTTGTGTGAGTTCGTGACGATTTTCCTTCAGCCACAGAAGTGATATCCTTGAGTGGGATCCAATGTTTACATTGACCGTTCAAACACGTCATCTCACTACGATAGTATTCCAACCTAGCACTGCCACCTGATGTTTGACGACGCAAAACAAACCACTTCTTTTTCCAAGCCTGCAGCGACAAAAGTTTGTTAATGGTGAAACTGTATTGTTAATATCTGATAGATCCAATAACAAATTAAACATTATTATTATACGGCAATTAAGCATCACTTCCGGTGAAATGGCAAACTGTGGTTGCCTGAGAAGCACAGAAGAGATTATTCCGCTGGCCTCAGAGTGACAAAACGTAACAAAGCAACGGTTTTACTAGCACTAACCCTATTCCAAACACCAACTCTAGCCTTAAAACTAATCCTTACCCTAACCCTACTCTAAATTTGTTTCTAAACCAATTATCTTGAAGAAAAAAGTTTTTACAAAATGTCATTCTGAGGTCAGCGAAATAGTTGATGCCGAGAAGCACTTACAGCTCCATTATTTTCCTGTAATGGACTGGCAGTCCATTGTGCAAAAACAAACACATGCATTTTAAAACAAAACAGCAAAACTAAATAATTGAAAATTATAACTTTCTTATTACCGGTAACCGGCCTAAAAAAAAAAACCCTGTGGTTCCGGTTCCCTACTGACCCTATTTTTTTCTGCCGACCCTATTATCTTTTCAATGCGATTGACCCTGCAACTCTATTTTCTCCAGGTGTTTGTGGGCTGCTCATACAGCATGCCAAAATGGTGTCTGTTGTCACACTAATATTGATAAGAACCAAATTGCCTAAATTTGCCCATAGTAACTACGCATCTCTAGTTAATATTGATGTCGGGACTCTACTACAAATCGCCCAGAAAAAAACTGCCAAAACAATGAAAAAAATACTCAGAAAAAAATTATTTCCGACCTACCGACCCTAATTTTTTCACGATATGAAACCGGGACCACACTTGTCAGGTATTTTTTTAGGCCTAACCGAACGCGAGGTCTGTACATTGAAATATCGGACCCAAGATATCGGGCGTGCAATTTTGATGCTTTTTGCAGTGGTGTAGCTTTACTTTTTTGACCACTTGCTCTCAGGACAAGTTGGACATGAAAATTAGTTGCCCCGAATAAAATTCACTTGCCATCAGACAATGGCCACTGGTGTACCTAGGTAGGGGGTATAAATTAAGGGGACAACATGTCAACCAACGACTCATTCTCCCAATGCTCTATATGGCTATGTTATACTGCTTCAGAATTCTGCAAAATTTGAATCAAGTACATGCACTATTAATAAAAAATTTATACCCGACAATGAAAAGAACATAAACTTAAAGATGTCCAGCTTTTTGTGGCAAGGCAACTAAAACTTGCCCAATCAGACAAGCAAGACAAAACGTTTACTTTCCCATTATGATATTCACTTTCGCCGGGCAAGGCAAGTGGTTACAACTTAAATGTCCGAAATCTTGGTTGCACAATTTCCAAACTTTCCAGTCAGGCACTTTTCATCCCTCTCAATCTGAAGTTTTCTGGAATGTAAAGTGCGTATGTCGGACTTGTCCGGTGTATAAACACAAACTTTGGCATACATATGTTTATACATAGACTAGCTAGCAGGCCTCGAAATTCCCTTGAAATCAATCGACAGCAATGGCATTAAAAATTGCTGTAGAACGTAACAGCTGTCTACGGCAATTTTGACAGTTTCCACGGCATTTTTTCAAATTACTGTAATAATTATAACTTTAATTTTATTGTTACCTTGGATTTCTGACAAGCTAGAAAATGTCTACATATTTCTTTAGTGTTTTTTTTTCTTTCGAAGAAAACTGAGACTAAAATAGTGATTTACGCATGATTTGATCAACATCTGAATTCAAGTATCAAAATAGTAATTATGCACATTCAGTGAATAGTATAAAAATTGCATTATACGGCAAAAAATTGCATTATACGGCAAAAAATTGCCGTCGTTGCAGCAATGATCCACGGCATTTTGTTCTCCCTCTATGCTAGCCCTGCTAGCTAGTGATTGTTCAAATTACTTGTACAAATTAATTGTACAAATTTGGACCAAATAGGTTTATACTTTAACCTTTCAAGTGGGAATGTGCCCCGATGCACCCAACTTTACTATTTTACTCTGCCTAACGCCAGACGATTTTACTCGCCAGGGGGAGAGTGCCGCCACTCAATGAGTTAATCAGACTATGTGCCCATGCATGTACCTGTTAACCCTTTAAGTGGCAATGCACCAAGATGCACCCTACTTTATTATTTTACTGTTTAATGCCAGACAATTTTAGTCATCAGGGGGAGACTGCTGCCACTAAATAGGTTAAAGGTGTATTTGGAATTTTGCACATTTATATTTCCAAAATTGGCGAAGATTTACATGTGTCGGAATCGATGTCCGAAATTCAAAAGTTAACGTTCCAGACTGAGTTTTCTGGTATTAAATAATATGGAAATTTGTCTTTTTTAATTATTTTTACTGTTAGAAAAACAGTGAAGTTTTCAATTGGTCTGGTATTCCATAATTGCTACCGGCCAATATTTAAAAGTCCATTTTATGATTTTTATAACAAACATATGTCACAGAGATTTTATGTTTCAAGTCTTCAATAATATATTAAACCTGTTAGGCTGTCGAATAAGGCAGAATTATCAAATATAATACAAGTTTTGGAACAAGTAAAGTTTTGTTTGTCTTGTTCGGTCGCTCTTTTTACAAACACAATATTACAAGCATTTTACCGCCATATTTGTTCATTTTGTTTGCCGAATTTGCGTACCTTTTTCAAAACTTTGCGTTGTTTTCTGGGCAGTTTTAACTCCATATTCCCACACTTAACAATCCCGTTGTAATTGGCCATTACAAATGGCAGCTAACAACCGTTAAACAAGTAATTTTAAGGCCTCATCTCTCTCTTGCCAACAAGTTTATAGCCACAACAACAAGTCAACAAGCATGTGAACTTTTTTCAAAAATATGGAAAACAGCAGCGTGCTTCCACATTAAAATTTCCAATTTCCATATTTGGCGCAAAATGTAAATTACCCGCGGCTTTAACTAAAATAGAGTCAGTAGAGTGCTAAACTCTTCAGAAATGATTTTTTATATTTCAAAATTACTTTCATAATTCCATCTATTTTGGATTTCCTGGGATCGAGGTTGTGTGATTTCGGTGCAGTTATTATAAATGATTAACTTAATCTCAAACGGCTGTGCAAATATAATATTAATGTATTATATAATTTCCTTCAAAGAAAAAAATCCTGGAAACCCTGGCCTGATTTTGAAGAAGAGAAGATGTGTACTTGCGGAGCTTGCGGTCACTGTGGCTTGCGGTGTGCAATAATTTATTCTGTGGTTAGATACTTCATGTAGGAAGAGCAGAGTGTGTCTAAATTTGGTCAAATATTTTACTTTTGGTATTAATAAATTTCGGCAATTTTGGAAAAATGTTTAATAATTCAGTGATTTTTTGGTAAAAGTTCGCGTTTTGAATGTTATCATGTGTAATAGAGATGCTAATTAGCCATTTCTGAAACTCTCTATAGCCACCAAAATCAGGTAATTAACTGTCTTGTCGTGGCCAAGGTATTAACATAACAGTTAACACTATTGTTTTTTTGACGAAAACATATATTTATCTGCATTAAGCTAATACTTAATACCCCAAATTGTTATATACTAATCAACCTTGTCCATAGCCATATGTGTATGAGACAGAAGGGCAAGGGGAGAATGGCAGGGGGGGCAACCACCCCAGGCTCCCAGACAAAAAGAGTTAGAGTTATTTACAGTACAATCCTGAGTTATTTACAGTACAATCCTCCATACAAATTTGGGCAAACTTTCAACTCCCCCCCCTGGAAAACATCTGCATGCCTATGACCTTGTCCCCGGGGTTTTCATGGTGGTACTTAAGTATCAAGATTTTGGTTGTTTAGGCCAAAAAAAATAATATGTGGGTTTCCGGTTTCCCGACCCTACCTAGCTTTTGGACGTCGAAATCCCGACCCTAAACTTTTTTGTTGGATCATGCTTGTAAGTGTTTCCACTTAGAGGAAAAAGTTTGTGAAAAATTGAAATTTGAGGCAATATTAGGGAAATTTATCTTTGGATGTGGAAGCACTGACTAAACAAAATGGCGTCCGCTTATTCGGAAAATTTAAAAAAAGTTTAAAAAAAAAAGTTAAAACCGACCTACCCTACCTAAGTTTTTATAAGAAGAAACCGGAAACCCACATATTTTTTTTTTGGCCTTATGACATGTTTACCAAAAACCAAGTGATATTTTTCCTTCTATCCAGGATATATATGGAGTCCTAGCTGCCAGTAGTGATTGTATTCTCATCTTTTGATATGACAAAACTAAGGTATACGTAACAAACAGGAAATAGTTTTTAAGAGACCCGAGAATGACAAACTTAACTTTCTTGTAGATCATGCCTCAGCCCCAGAAGACCTAGACGAGCCCCCTTTGTTAAAACCTTAGGACAACACCATAAACAGGCAGGAAATGATCGGAAATAATCAAATATACAAAGTTGCAGATAATTGGTACAATATCTAAAATGAATTTGGTTTGTGTGAGCAAATAAATTGGTTTAATATTTTATAAACACTTCCATTGCCACATTTAATGTAAGCCCTTGCCTGTAAGAGTGTTAACAGAGAGCAGGATTATTAAGTCTTCTATAACTCTTTAAAAAGGGGGGAGAGAGTTAATGGAGGATTTGCCTACGTCATTACGAAGAAAACTCTGACACTCTGTAACATTGAATTTCATGAACAAATTTATTCGTGATCAAAGTTCCAAACTACAACTGAAAATGCGCGCCATTAAATACAAAACTACTAGCAATTAGTAGAGACCTAAGTGCTAGAAAATAGTGCTAAGTAGCTTTAATATTCATCATTCACGTGCCATTCACGTTCATTGACATGCCATCCAGTTGACGCCAATTTGATACGTAATAGAATAACCCCATGGCTGGAATTTGAGCAAGAATCCATCTTTGCCCTTTGGTTACAGAGCCTACTCTAACGCGAACGCGGACATTTTGATCTTCGTGCGTGTCGACCAGAGTTAGACCAATCATTACCTTTGGTATTGTCCTGAAGGTGGGGTTAAATTTGACATACACGTCCTGGTCCGCATCCAAAACAATAACTTGCCTCAAATGTACAATACTTCGATGCTTGGTATCCAGTTTGGCCTACAAAACAATTTTTATCACGTATTAAAAAACTCCCTGATTAATAATTCATGAAGAAAACACAAAGAAAAATCATAAGCGTGTCATATCTGTATAATATGTGATACAGATTCATGTTGATTTACATAAACTTTGATTTTCTCGGCTTAGACAACGTTTATTTTTAAAATTACTTCGCCAATGAACTCATAAGATGAGTCGTTTTTTAAGTTGTTTACAATATTCGCGTCCGTGTTGTATCGGATATACAACTAACTCTCGCCTTCGGCTCGAGTTTGTATATCCGATACAACACGGCCGCTCATGTTGTAAACATTATACTAAAGCCACCGACACGGTAGTGATTTCCTTCGTATTTTCCTCATTAATTATTAATTAATATTATTAGAAAGTTTCAATGATAGATCAAAGTGAAAATTTGACATTTTTGGTTGCTTTGGGTCTACACTTCGTAAGAAGATTTTTCTGTAAAATTGAAACAGTGATAGCCATTCATCTCTGTGTCAAGTAACCTTTTAATGCAATGTTTTGAAAGAAACTTTGTATATATTCTACAGAATTTTGAAACAAAAGCAAAATTAACAAAATCTGTGCACTTATATCAGAAATTAAAATAATTCAGGTTATTTCATTACAATGCCCTAACCGAAATTCGAGCAAACTGGCTTTCGACACGGCGTCCCTCCCAAAAAGGATCAACCCGTGCGCTTATATATGCAAATATTCAAGAAAGATAAAAATTAAAACATGATGCTTGCGTAATTGTCATTGCGCAATTAAATAGGTTGTAGTAAATATTAATAGATTAAATAGTCAAGGTAAATATATGGATTTGAAAACTCTAATTAGTAGCCAGGTGTCATACGTTTTTGTTGAATATAGCTAGTGATTCTTTTCCTCTTAATTCATTTGGGAGACTATTCCACAGTTTAGCCCCTCTATAGCTAAGACTTTTTTAAGATTTTTGAATTAACTTTACATTTACAATAATTTTAACAGTCGAGACAAACTAATTTTAAGACAAAATACAGTCGGTGCAAGAGACAACTAACAACAACTTAAAACACCATCAAGGGACCTAGCCTTTTACATTTAACGCGCACAGATTTCCAAGTTCGCGGATCGTCATAATTATAAATATTGGATAGCGTGTTTTTGTAGTACGTCTTCAGTCCAGATTTGAAAGCTTGCCGACCAATATCTCTATTACGGAGGTCACTATTTAAACCGTTCCACGTTTGCTATAAGGCTGACTTTATGTAACACATCTAACGACTAACGTCACTATACGTATTCTCGTTGCTGCAAAGACGTGATAATGCTTAGCCCAACGTTATATTCAGAATGACAACGCTGTTATAGGATACCCTTGAGACCACAAATTTTCATATTGCATGAAGAATTTCTTTGTTTTGAAGGCGCGTCTCTAGTAAGTTTACATAACCGCACTATGCTGCATGGATTTGATGGGAGATGGGATGAATTTAATGTACTGAAAAGAGTAACTATAAGCTTCAACGAAAGTTCAAATGACGATTAAAGGAACATTTACTGAAATGTTGGCGAGAAGATCTCGTATAGTACGAAAGTAAAACTCTCAATATATACAAATACAAAGAACAAGAAAAACAATAAATGTAAAAAATTACCCCGGCAAAGGCATGTTTGTAACTTGGGAAATATTGGGAAATTAATAAAAATGACGGGAAACTTTACCGTATATATTCTCATGAATTAATCGTGGCATCACGAATTTCAAATAAAATATATTGCGTCGCTGGCGCCCGCTATTTCCTATCCAGATTTTCAATACATGCATGGTTCAAGTTATAAGCACCATTTTACTTACCAACGTGAACATTGCGCACAAGCAAATCAAGAGCTGCTTCATACCTAATATATATATACAACGAAAGTTAAACGTTGGTCATTATATGGTGATACCCAGCCCTCTCAGAAAAAATACGACAGAACTGATATATTACCATTACTAAAATATGTACCGCACTTACTTGTTATTCGTAAAGTTTTCTGTCTCAAAATAAGCATATAGGTGTCCAGTTCGGTATAATCAAAACAAAAACTGATGGAAATGCACTCCACCCACCCATCTTTTATATCCTACTCTTACAAAAAATTAACCGACGCACTAATTAGTCATGCATGGTATGTTACAAAGGCTTGTACACCTAGGTATTCAAAAAAGAAAAGTAATTAAATTATTAACTGATTTGAAGACACTGACATTTTTTAAAGGGTCATAAATGAGGATCTATTTAAACCAGTAAGAAAAGGAACTCATTTTTTTTTGTTTGGAATTAGAATAATATTGCCATTATTGTCCGATGGCCAAGGGTACTTAACTAAGTTTATTGTGAGAGTTTCTTTGTGGGGATTTACGAAATTAAGGGTTGCAAAAACACCGCAGGTTTTTCTCCTGTACTCTGTACAGGGTGTCTCAAAAAAACCGCTACCCTTAGAAATTCACCATTGTTCTAATTTGAATGCCTGAACCTTGTTGAAGCCATGAATGCGTAAACATTTTCACAGGATGCATATATTAAAGATCTTCGGAATTAAAATATCCTTGAAAAGCGAAATTTTTTATCCTGGGAATTGAAAATAGTTCATACAAAAGTATAACTGCACGAAAATCGTTCAATTACATATTAGTGAATGTCAAGCAAATGGCTCAACTGAGCACAGAGCAAAGAGTATTTATTGTCTTAAATTACCCATGAGTTCAAGATAGCACTCAGGCATTCAAATTAGAACAATGGTGAATTTCCAAGGGTAGCGGTTTTTTTGAGACACCCTGTAGT